GTTTATTTCTGTCAATATGAGAGGAGGAGGGTGCAGTTTATTTCTGTCAATATAAGAGGGGGGGGCAGTTTATTTCTGTCAATATAAGAGGAGGAGGGTGCAGTTTTTTAGAAGATTTTATCCGTCCCTCTGGTAACAGTTCTAGTTTAACTGAACTGTTGCCACAAATCCTAATTTTCTAATCTTTATATCTTTGCAACCTGATATTGTAGACCTGGAAAATCTAAATGTGTAGGTTGGATAATAGGAAAAGAAGTGCTAAATGCACTGACATTTTTCTTAATTTCCAATAAATCCGACATCTATATGTATTAAGTTTTTCTAGGTGTATTTTTGTTTGTTTATATTTCCGATCATAACTCAGGAACCCCAAGTCCGATGTGCCTCAAATTTGAATTGGGGAACTAGGGAACACCACGGGAATGTTTATAGTCTGGTTTTGAGGTTCTAAGTTAAGTGGGTCGACTTTTATGTGGAAAAATAGCTAAAATCGTAATTTGAGACCGATTACGGGAAACGGCGGGAGCAACTTTGAGTAACCTGGGAAACACTGGGTGTCCGTGATAGTTCTTTTAAAATGAACATAAAGTATTAGACCATACTTGAGTGAGAATATAATTAGTTTAAACAATACAAGTTTATATAAATCAAGATAATATTACAAATATTAAATTTTTACCACGTTTGCTGTCGTGACCAATACTATAAACACAAATAATTCAATTTTAACACAAAACAAAAAATAACAATAACCACTACAATGCATAAATTACATAAATCTTTGATTTTATACAAAACAGAATTTAGGATATATTAAAATATTTTAATATTTAAATACATTTCACTTTGTATTAAGTAAACATAAGAAAGTAAATATGGGAGTTAATTTATCAAATATAGATTAAATCTTAACTTTGAAAAAATGTTGAATTTGTATTATAAAAACTTATATTTTTATTTTTGGAGTTAAAGAAGTTTTTTTTATAAGGTAACTTGATAATTAGATGCGATATGCAATAAAAAATATCCATTAAAAATTCCCATGTTTATTATCTCTTAGATAGATGTAATTCATTAACATTCTGGATTTATTATAAAACAGTAACAACTTTTAGTTTTTATAAATATCCATAAAAGTATTTGGTTGTTTTAATAATACACCGTTTCATGTTCGAAAACAGGAACAGAGCTGAAAATTTGGATTGTTTTATTAAAGATCAATAAGTGTGTAATAAAGTATATTATGCCAGAGTTTAGAATATTTACATTTCCAACCCGTACACAAATACATATACTCTTAACACTGTTCGTATGTTTGTCTGTCTGTCTGTTTCAGGACTAAAATACAATTAAATAGAGCAGCCCAACCTAATATTTATTGGAACCATTCTATTGGCAAGAAATAGGTTCTAGGTTGGTTTAAGCCTCAGTCAGAAAATGTTTTTATAAATATTAAATACGCCACAAAATCAGAAAGTAAATCGAAAAATTGGGAAGACGAATATGGAAAGGATATGAATATATGGAAAGGATATGAATATATGGAAAGGATATGAATATATGGAAAGGATATGAATATATGGAAAGGATATGAATATATGGAAAGGATATGAATATATGGAAAGGATATGAATATATGGAAAGGATATGAATATATGGAAAGGATATGAATATATGGAAAGGATATGAATATATGGAAAGGATATGAATATATGGAAAGGATATGAATATATGGAAAGGATATGAATATATGGAAAGGATATGAATATATGGAAAGGATATGAATATATGGAAAGGATATGAATATATGGAAAGGATATGAATATATGGAAAGGATATGAATATATGGAAAGGATATGAATATATGGAAAGGATATGAATATATGGAAAGGATATGAATATATGGAAAGGATATGAATATATGGAAAGGATATGAATATATGGAAAGGATATGAATATATGGAAAGGATATGAATATATGGAAAGGATATGAATATATGGAAAGGATATGAATATATGGAAAGGATATGAATATATGGAAAGGATATGAATATATGGAAAGGATATGAATATATGGAAAGGATATGAATATATGGAAAGGATATGAATATATGGAAAGGATATGAATATATGGAAAGGATATGAATATATGGAAAGGATATGAATATATGGAAAGGATATNCATACACTCCATACACTCCATACACTCCATACACTCCATACACTCCATACACTCCATACACTTCACACATTACATACACTCCATACACTCCATGCAATCGATACACTTCATGCACTCCATACACTCAATGCATTCCATACATTCCATACACAACATGCACTTCATGCACTCCAAGCACTTAATACACTCTAAACACTGAATTTGATGTTTGTGCATATTCGCTAAAAGCTCAATGTTCTAAAAAATGTTTGATTTAGTAAATTTAGTTCCCTTTACTGCATAGGATGCATGATATTTACTTCAAGGTTTGATGAGAATATAAACCTTTGAAAGCTTGTGTTTATGGACCCAGAGTCTTGAAATATTATATCCGACCTATACATATAATCCAACTCAACTCAAAATGCATTTAGGAGAAGGAGAAGGGAAGGAAATAAAAGAAATAAGGATGCGGAAGAGGGGGGGGGGTCTAAGGTTGTTTGCAAGTTTATAAAAAGGATAGAAAATAATATAAAGTGAATAACACGAAATGGATTACACTTGATGAGGTGGCATGGATAAGATTGTTAAGGAATATATAAATGATGGATAACATGCTTTTCGGAATGTGAATGATATTCGGGGGTTGCTAGGAAATTGAACTGTTTTTAGAGTTCGGTTTAAAAAATGAATAAAAGATGACTAGAACTGGACAGAGGTTTTCCTAAGAATCTCTGTCCAGAGTTTTCTAAGAATCTCTGTCCAGAGTTTCCTAAGAATCTATGTCCAGAGTTTCCTAAGAATCTCTGTACTTGCAAGAATTAGTGTGGTAGATGTTTAGAAGCGGTTGCTTGAAGAAGTACGGTGGTTGTTTGGATAGGTTTGGATGTATAACAATGTTCAGAAAAGTATGAATAATGTTTAAAGAAGTATAAGAATGTTCAGAAAAGTATGAATAATATTCATAGAAGTATGAATATGGTTTGGAGAAGTATGACAATGTTCAGAAAAGTATGAATAATGTTCATAGAAGACTGAATAATGTTTAAAGAAGTATAACAATGTTCAGAAAAGTATGAATAATATTCATAGAAGTATGAATATGGTTTGGAGAAGTATGAATAATGTTTAAAGAAGTATAACAATGTTCAGAGAAGTATGAATAATGTTTAAAGAAGTATAACAATGTTCAGAGAAGTATGAATAATGTTTAAAGAAGTATAACAATGTTCAGAGAAGTATGAATAATGTTTAAAGAAGTAAAGACTTTGCACAAGGTTGTTATAGATAAGGAAAGTAAAGAAGTTTGGAATAATAAATGAATAAATTACTTTTTAAAATATAATTTTAAGATTACAATGTTTACTTAATAAATTAAACAATATAATTACCTAAAACCTAAAGATTGTGTGTATATTTGTACATATTCATGTTGGATCAAACAAATATATATTTATAAACATGGTTTCCTTTTATCAAAGTTAGATCATTTATTGTATTTCTAAAATTGATTTCCTTTCAAGTTGTGGAAACCTTAAATATTCTTTTAGTCTTGATAGGATGGTTTATAGAATGATCGATACTCATATCTTAAT